CAGTGAGCAATGTTGTTGCTCCATCCAGGATGACAAAAACAATGATGTGTTCTCCTGTTCCAAGAGGAACTTGACAGTGATCAATGAATGTCATGTCACCAAAGGTGTCCGCTCTAAGTCCACTCGTCTTGCTTCGTGATGGTGCATGTTTTGCCGCTTGGCAAACTTCACATTCACTTCGGATTTTGTCAAATAGATCGAATGTTGATTTCGGCAAATGAAGTGAGCGGGTTCTAAATCGAAATTGATCTGTTGTCATGTGATGATGCTGGAGGTGGAGCTTCTTCAACTCTTCGGGATTTGACAATCGCTTGTGGATTCTGCCTAGGGCAAGCGGAAGCGATGTTGGTTCTTCTGAGGATGGTGCGAAAGGATCTGGCGCAATGGTCGACCGGCCCTTCTTGTCGATGATCCTGTCTGCTGCCGATCCTGAACCTGCTTCTTCGTCCTTAAGCGAATTGTCCGCGAAGGTGAAAATGGTCTTACCTATCCACAGGTTAATGATTGGTTTATTTGCCTGGGATGTAAGTCTCCAATTGTCTTCTAGGATGTCTGGATCTCCACCTACGGATGCAACAATGATTTCCGTTGTGCGCTCTCGGCTAATGTTGTCAGGATTGATTGGACACTCCTTGGCTCCATTTGGTGTGAACAGCGCCTTTCAGGGCGTGATGTGCACACGGATGAGCTGCTTGTTCTTTTTGGTCAAGGATCCAATGGTCCTGCTTTTGAGACCCAATGATCTTAGGAGTTGCTAGGTCCTCCTTTGTCTCGGATGATTTTGCTGCACAAACAGTTTCACTCTTGGTGAGGTCCCCGGAGGGAAACTTGATGCTGTTATCATCATCATAGACATAGTTGGTGAGGCCTTTGTGAGCAATTTCTCCATGTGCCTTCAGTCTTGCAACTCCAGCGAGGTCGACGAGTGCATGTCCTGTACCGGATACTGGAACTGCTTGACGGTTCATGCCAAAGGCTTTTGCGTGTGATCTTGTCACATTGAGGTGTGTGCTCGATGGTCATGCAGAGGTTCCGCATCTGACTGATGCTGAGGAGGATCGGTACAGTTCTTGGTACTGCGTGGAGGAGTTGTGCGATATCGAAGATGCAGGGTCCAATTTACCCTGGCGGTCTCTCCGTTTGCAAAAGTGAACTTGGTCTCGGCCGGGATGTACTGATAGGAGATGATGTCCTTCATTGGTTCGATGGCCTGAGTAAAACGCTGGATTGCGTGCCAGCTGCCCATAGATCTGGTACATCCATTGTCCAGAACCGCATAGGTCGGATTGTGCTGAGGGTTGATGACAGGCGCCGTCAGCTTTTGTTGCCAGAAGGCTGTGATTTGTTGTGACGGACAGATTGTGTTCTGAAACCGTATCTGATTGGATCAGCTTCCCGTGGATGGCCTTTTTCTCATGATGCTCATATGCATCATGGAATGCCATTAGCGCTTGTCCTGTGCTGGATGTCTCATGGGATGAGTACCAGCCATGTTCGTTCCATGTCCATGATTGATCCCAGTCTTGGTCTGTCCAACTGGCATAGGTAGGCTCTATGGATGGTGCAGTCTGCTGGATGGCGGGCTGCTCCTCCGTCGGCTGCGAACGTCTTGGATTTCCTTTTTTCATGTCCGCTCTTTCCTTTGCCATTCTCATAGGATGGTTTTGTTTCCATCATAGGGATATTGGAATTTTGATTTTCCTTTCTTTCCCTTGTTTCCTTTGCCTTTTCCCCAATATGCCTGGTCGTAGGGGTCATAGTTTTCGTTGGCCATATTGGCCTTTCCGCCAGAACCGCTTTTTCTGAAGGGTTTGAAGCCACCTCGTTGGTGACTGCCCTTTTTGTTTCCTGATTTTCCTTTTCCTTTGTTCTTCTTGAATTTGAAGTTCCGCCCCGACACTTTTCTTGCTATGAACGCATCGTTCTCCTCGAGGACCCAGAATGTCTCTTCATCGTTGTTTGACATGAATCCTTCAAGTCCTTCTTCATCCTCAGGCCTTGTTCGATGATGCAGAATGTGTTGCTTCGGTTGCCTCCTTGAGGTCGGATGGATGGATCTTGAAGCGATGTCCTGGTTGTGATGAAGAGTTCATGGTAGTGTGTCTTCAGCATCTCATAGGAGTAGTTCTCTAGTGAGACGTTTCTCAATGACATTGCACTTGTCAGTCTCTCTCTTTGTTGATGTGACATTTCACTCTGAATGATGAAAAGCTGTGCAATGAGATTATCCCCGAAGGGAAATGCGTCCCGCTGTCTGTCCTGCATTCCTGCGATATATTGTCTGAGGACTGTTGGATCGTCCTCGTTGAGCAGGGCTGGAGGCGGTGCTCGAACACCGGCTGCTTGCTGATGTCGAGCAATTGTTCTTGCATTTGCGTCCTGTACGGACTGTCGAAATGATGGGGACTGTGCCGTAAAAACTGGCATCAAGTCCATCCATGCTGCCTTCAATCTCATGAGAAGGATTTCGAATTTTGAGGTAAAAATGAGGAACTCTTGGTTCTGCCTTCGATGGTTGAAGAAACTGAGGGGCCTGTGCAGATACACGTTGGTCGCACCTTTCAAAAAGTACTTCTTCAGCGTGTTCTTGAAGTAGTTGACTCCTTCGTCAGGATCTTGCAGAAGGTCATTTTGGAGGACTGCCTTGTACATGTATGCATCTCCTGTGAGTCTGCTTTTGAGCAGAGGTCCTCTCTTGGGTGCTTCCACTGTTGTGATTGTCACCCAGTCGTCCACGAGTTCTTCATACCTAAACCAGCTGACTTTTCCGTCGTACAATGGCGGCTGCTTGGCGGTCATCGATAAATTGAGTGTTTCCTCCGTGTAGCCTTGTGATTTGGCCATACTCGAAATAGGCTTCCATGAAGCCTTCTCCATCGGATGACATCTTAACCTTGGATCTCTGCAGAAAACCTGCTCCGCTACCACAAATTGAGGCCACTGCCGGGGTACCTTATCCCAGAATGGAACTGGTACCCTTGTGGTAGTAGAGGTCGTTGTTTAGGTCCCTGGATCTATTCCGAAGAGAACCCAATATGCCATTATGGATGATTGGAGGATGGATTGTCCCTGGTGGCTTGTATTGTGGATAATCCTGTAAGCGGCCTGCAAAGGTTCCTTTGTCACGCAATCATGAGTATTGCTATGATACAGAAAGGGCCTTGAGCCAAATGGCTGCGGGAGATCAATTGTGTAACAAACCAAACACAGGGGGTTGGGGAAAAACGGTCTTCGTTTTCTTTTTTTGTCCGATCCAAATGTAGGTTCGCTGCTAACCCCAAAGCAAAGGTAGGAATGTCCAAAGGTTTGGACGCGTGTGGATCCCATTTTTCCGATTCAAGCTGCTTCAAACCGTGGTCCACACCTTTTTTGGCTTCAGTCGTTCAGTTTTGAGGCCCTAGCTGTTTTCGCAACCTACCCTAAGGGACATGTTCCGGGGCGTCGCATGTAGCTCGGGGGCGTCAAGTATGGAAGGCAAAGCCCCCAACTTTGAGCCTGCGCAGCAACACCTTGGTTCAATGTTTGCAAAAACGACGGACGCTATCCAAAACTATTGGGAGTTGGGATCGAGGCCTTTCCCATGAATTCAATAGCAGCCAACTCTAATAAATGCTCTCCCACAGTATTGCTCAAGTTGAGTCTGCACATGAAGCGCAATAAGCGCATGTGCAAATCAATGCTTTCTGACGCCGACCTACGCGCGATCTATATATAGAATGCGATCAAACCTTTGTCGACGCCATGTTGCGCTAACCGATGCTTGTCCCGAACTGACGCTATCCTAACGAATCGGCGCCCTGTGATTAGCGCTGGCACTCGCTTACGCTATCCGACGCCTATCCGACGCTCGGGACGTCAGAATGCCTCATTTTGGAGGCCCCACGCGATGCTAACCGACGCTAACCAATGCTATCCGACGCCTATCCGACGCCTATCCGAGGCCTATCCGACACCTATCCGACGCCTATCCAAGGCCTATCCGACGCCTATCCGACGCTATCTGCCGCCTACCCGACGATATTTGACGCTATCGGACTCCCACCCGACGCCTATCCGACGACAATCCGACGCTATGTGACGCCATCCGATGCCCATCCGACGCCTATCCGGCTCCCATCCGACACCCATCTGGCGCTATCCGACGCCCATCCGACGCCCATCCGACACCTATCCGACGCCCATCCGACGCCGATGTGATGCTATCAAGCGCTTTGCGGTAGTTTCGATGCCTATCCAACGCTCGGGGCGTCAAATGGCTTCATTTTTGAAGCCCCATGGACAAGCTATTTGTTCGGGCCCTCACTCTTGGACCCCAAAGCCCCCTGAGGCCCCCGCGGGGCGCCCCTCAGATATCAATGGCCCCCGGGGTGTGCATTGCAAGGCCCGGGGCGCGCAATGCACACCCCATCGACTTTTAGGGTAGTGGCCAAACCCCTGAAATTGGAATGGTGGGTTGTGAGACAGCGGGGGTTTTGGGTTCTCTTTTACGCCATGGTTCAAAGCACCAATTGTCAATGATAGGAGAAACCTCCTTTTGGTTTGCCCTTGAAGGTGGCAATGGTCCAACTACGAAACTGAACTCCACATGCTCGCCCAGTGTCTCCAGTTGCTCACCTCGCGTTCAGGGATGCGGTGAAAGACCAATTGGAAGCCTTCTCCCAAACGGAGGCTTTTCAGGTCTCAGCCCAGAGGCCCTCGTAAAATGACATTGGAACCCTGCTCCCTGTGGGGTTGATCCTTTCTTTGGCGGAAAGCCAAGCCACCAAACAAAAACGGGAAGACACCAACTGAGAGGTCACAGGCGCAAGGTCGCAGATGGGGCCAGCGACTTCGAGCGAGGTCCCCATTATCCCCCTACGCTGAGGCACCCTCATTCCAATGTACGCATTTCAAGGATATTTGTTCGGGCGCAGGAAGCCAGGGGAAAACGATGTGAGTCCCAGGGAAAGCGAAAAGTCGCAGGGTTTCCCCAAGTGCGAGCGCCGACGAATCTACATGTCCTGCTGCTTCCGCAGATCTTGCCAGCGGCTGAAGGACCTGCATCTTCTCACGACTCCGAGAGCCGACGTCCTTTGGTTTGTCTTTGAAACCATCCAACAACGTCCCCTATTCTGAGACTGACCCAATCCAGCAAAATGAGTGAATTGAATTCGGTGAATGTACGAGTTCCGCGAGTTCGGTCACTCGTCCCTCCATTCCAAAAGGCCAACCTTGACAAATGCCAAAGGAGGCTGGTGAATTTTCCCAAACACGCAACAGGTCCTCAGTGCTCCCAAAATCAGGCGGCCAATTTGTTGTCTTCAAAATGGCAGGTTTTGAAGGACGTTGGGGAATCGATCCCCGCCCCCAACCAGGAAGGGCGTGGCCCCTCCATCTTCTATTTCCCTTGTACACACAAAGGACAAGTGTCTGAAATCGGAAGGACACAATTCACTAGGGATGGGGATAAAACATCATCCTTTCCAACATGATCTCTCTTTGCGCGAGGATTTGACAAGGATTTTCTGTCTTCGCACCCCGTTGCTTGGAAACAAGACGACCCGCAAGTGCAGAAAGCCTTGGAAAGTGGCGGGTCCAACTTGTGTTCCGAATTCTACAGGGTCAACAGTTACGGCCGCTGGCATGGGGGCCTTGTGGGGTTGTTTACAAGCACAGCACCTCGTGATCGGCCTTCTCGAAAGGTGAGGTTTGAACCCCAAACGACCCTAAAACCACACCCACGCCCACCCTACTAAGCCACTGCTGCCCAAAGCCCAGAGTTTCAGGTTTCGAACAACAAGCAACAACCCCCCCAGCCTTCAAACAAAAAAGACAAGCAGTTCTCATTAACCTCAAACCACCCCGCATCCAGGCCAAGGAGAGACGGTCGGCTCGGCACGGTTTTCGGGGCTGCGGGGCCGGGGCCCGCGCTTGGCCCAGAAGCCCAGGGTGCGGTTCTGCATGCAGCGGAACTCCGGCGCCGCGGCGCCCAGCAGCACCGCCTGCAAAGCGAGAGAACCGAGAGAACCGAGGCTCGGTTTCGCCTGGGAAACCAGCGGACTGGCATTTGGGTTCCAACTGACTGCACTCAACGCGGATGTGCATACATTTGCTGAGTCTGCAACAGCTCCGTCATTTCCCAAGAGTCAGTGGTTTCCAAATGATCTTCCTGGGGCGCTTTCTTTGCCCCAAAACAGGCTAAGCTTTTGAGGAACTTCCAATTTGCTTTTCCAAAGACACACGCGGCTGGTTTTCAGGGCCCGTCTTTCGCCCGCGATTTCGGGACGAGACCGGCTGAGTTTGCGTTGCAAATTCGAAGTCCTTCGCTTCTCCGTCTTGAAAGCTTCGGGGCTGAGCGGCGCGCCTGCCAAAAGTCCGTCTGAAAGTTCCAGTTGGGATCTTCCTCGCTTGGCATCCGATCGAAAGCGCCTGCGTGCCCTTGGGAGGGGTGCACTGCAGCCTAACCATCCAAGCTCAAACCGGCCATTCTCCGTTAAGCGCATGGACGGTTGGGAAAGCAATCCAAAACGCAACAGGCAAAGAGCAAGACTATCCCCCAAGCATCTTTGGCCTGTGGGTGAATGCTTCTCCACTCCAAGTCTCCGCCAGGATGGCCACTTGGATGTCCTGCCCGCACATCAAAGCAGTATGCTTTCCAAGGATTTCCTGAAAGCCATCAAACCAGAAAAACCGTCCTTTTTGTACAGAACGGTGTGGAACGCGGGGAGCATCAACCCCCCAGACTTTCTTCAAAGCAACCACACCTAGATCCATTGCCGCTTCCGAAGGAAGAGCCTTTGACGTAGATCTGATTGGCGAAACAGCTCCTGACGTAGGGGCCATTGTACCTCCCAAAACTCTGAGTTGAATCCAAGAAAAAGAAAAGAAGAAAAGAAGAAACAAAAGCTGCATTGCCGGCGGCGGCCCACCCTGTCTGTCACGCCTACCACGACCGCCGCTTTCCCCCGCGTCCTGCAAGGTGAGATCCACGAAGGAGAGGCTCCGCTCTCGAGCCTGAGACGATCCAGAGGTACCCAATGGCCGTTTTGGGTGAGGACCCACTTTTGCCGGTTGCTTGGAAGCTATCATTTGCAAAGGCTTCGTAAGAGTGGCCCAGTTTGTCCCATGTCGAATCCTGTTGAAATGTTCAGATGGGAAAAGCAGTTAATTGGCAAAGCATCAACCCGCATGATTATACTGAGTGGTGTTCAACTCTTCTACAGCCAGTTCACAACTTGTAGGCAGATTGCAAACAGCTAGGAGTACGACCTGTCCTATGACAAACAAAGACGCAACCAATGGGGGAGTGCGACAACTGGGTCCTGACATTCGAACCTCAAGAAGACCATGCGTGTTTGAAAGAACCCCTCTCATGGCGCCCCTTCAAGCCTACGATCACCTCAGAAGACTCAGAAAACAAACCGGGTTCGAACCAATTTCAAAAGCAAAGTAGAGCAAAACGGTATAGAGCCCTGAGGGGAAAAACAGAAGAGTCGGACATGGACCTGCAGGATAGGGCCCGGTTTTCCTTTTAGTGAGGGGAAAAGACTGTTCGACAACGAAACTTGGAAAACCCAACTGGTTGCCTACCTTACAAACCCGCAAAAAGTCAGCATGATCCAAGTGGTTGCCTTCCTGTTCAGGTAGCACCTCCAACTCCTCATTCGGTTCATCATCTCCAATCATTGGCTGGAAGAGCCCCCCTTGGCCTGCACGGAGCCTGCTGGCGTCTCTGGCCTGGTGCTCCTTGCGAAACGTTGCGCCACCACCACCATTATCATCATCGTCATCGTTACCAACATGAGCAGAGCGTGGCCCCTGGTTCATCATGATGTGAATGGTGACGATATTCAAAACGAGATGCCCCTAGAACATGCAGTGGTTTGGTGCGCATGTCAACCGTTGGGAGTGTTTGGGGCGAGAAATCTGCACCACCAATTGGTATGGCGCTGCCAACTGCTCAGTCCAAGCAAACTGACCTAATTTCACGATCCCGCCACAAAGCAACAAGACTCTCGGGGGCTTGTCCTTTCCAAGATCCAGCCAGTTCGTGATCCAGCCAGAAAGCGCTACCAAAACCTGATAAACATGGCGACCCGCTTGGAAGACGTCTTTCTGCAGAAAAAAACGGCTCGATGCGCCTCTATTGTGGATACACATGTTGGGCCTTATGACACCTTCCAGGTCTAAAGTTTGCCACCTCAGACCCCCTTCGGCCGGAATAGTCTAAACTGGTCGGTTTCCTTTTGACTCCCCTTCTTGACAATACCAAACACAAGGGGATCCACCATTTTTGGGAACACTCACATAGATTCAACCAAAAGTGCAGGCATCTTGCAATACGCATGATTGTCGGGTCTCCAAAAGGTGGGCCCCCTTGCATAGTGTAGCTGAAACCAGAAGGAAACCAGGCAGGCCCTTTAACAAATCAACAGGAACCTTCGACCATATATCAGGCATTCACTTTGTTCTCTCGCACAATACATTCCCTGACACATTGCCGAACTGCATCGTGAACCAGTCCCTAGCTTTTCCTGAGGGTCATATTTGCACGTTTGCTTTTCCTCATGTGAAATAATCTTTGACACTGACTGTCTTGCCTTGAAACACCCTATAGGAAGAGATCAGCGGATCTTGTGTTGACGCGTTTGATATGCCGCCCACGGAGAGGTGGAACCTATCCCAATGGGCAAATGATTTCAAGTTTGCCACATTGGAGACACTCCTGGCGTGAGGCACAACCACACCTACGCTTTTTGAGCCCCATTCACTCTTTAAGGTAGTCTCAAAAAGGCCAGCCCAGCCGTTCTCTCCCATCCACGTTGCAATGGAATCTGCCACTCTCCATGTTAGAGACTCCCTAGAGTTAGACCCATATCGTGGGCTTCCTATATATGGCATTATTTACGGGCAACTCTATCACCCCCGGCCTATAGTCAACAGGGGTCATATAGTCATTGCTGGTTTGCTCCTATGATCATGACTAAGTTTGATTTCAAAGTTCCCCACACCATTCCGATCATTCAGGCTCCAAAATGGGCCTGCCTCAAAACGCCTGAAATCGTGTTGCTTCTTCTTCTTTCGTTGGAAATCCCTTAAACTCACGCAGCACAAGGTTCCCCAAAAATCTGCCACCCCCTCCTGTTGCTGGTCCGACTTGGCGGCCGGTGCGGCCGCCCAGGCATCGGGAGCATCGACCCATCGATGCCCCGAAGGCGGAGAGACAAGTCGGAGATTTGGTCCGAGCCGAACAGGTGCCCCCCCCTTTTGGACGAGACCTACAAATCACCGGGCCTTTGCAGATTTGAGTCTGGAAGGGATTTCCCTGTCCTCTTGAGGGTCGGCTGGTGCGCTTGAGTGATCAGTTCGGTTTGTTCACAGGGGCCCTTTCGCTTCTTGTTGCCCTGTGTTTTACTTGTGTCAAAACCGGTGACTTGGACCCGGATAAACTAACTGCTCCAAGAGCAACCTGGTTTTGACGGATCATGCTCTTCACACCATCTGCGCGTTGTCTTTGTTGCTCTTGAGCCGCTTCACCCCAATAATTCCCCTTACTGGATTTTGTGCACTGGTTTGCGAGGCTCCCAAAGACCAAACATACACAACTTTTCTCGGCCGGACACAGCTGACATCCCATTTTGAAGGTTTTGCAGCCTTCAAGCGCTCGCGATTCTATGTACAAGCCCCGCAGGCGACGCGTTGGCATTCTTTACTTTGCACTCGAATTTTCATGCACTGGCTAAGCTGGGCCCGTGCCTGAATTTTGGGACCCGCTTCAATGCTGGCCGCTTCTGAAAAGAAGAGCAGACTCAGCCACCCCATTTCGGAAAACGACCTCGGCTCATCGGAAGTCCTCCTTCTGGTTCCAGTCGATCGGCCCACCAAGCAAAGACCCGCTGGACCTGTAGATGTCTCACCGGGGGTAAGCCATCCTGGGATCGGGGTTCCGTGAAGGTATCGAATGGACATGACTCTTTTTGAACAGAACTACCATTGTCCTGGCCAAGCCCTTTGTGGTTGTACCACTTGACTGAAGGGAAAGCCCACTAGCGGGATCTCCCTCTTTTGCCGAGTCACGGCTCAAGGAACCTGCGACATTTCTCTTTCGTGCAGGACACCTATGGTTAACCCAAACCAAACAGCTTTGCAACAGGCTTCGGGGACCCCATTGGCTCAGCCAAGTGGCTTGGGCTTGGCCTTCAGCTTGCTCAAGGCTGCCTCGGGTCGAACCCTACCGATTGTTTTGATTTTCTGCTGGCTTCCCTGGCAGCCCCATGGGTAAAGGAGTTCTTTTGAATTTACCCAGCCCTCCCCACACTGCCCCCCCCCCACCCCCAAACAAAAACCAAAAGCCAAACCCAACAAAAAACAACAACAAAACACACCTATGTTTCCCAAGCCTCAATGAAAATGACACACCCAGCGAGGTGTTTCCCTGTCAAACCAACGGGGAGACCCACGTGGGTCATTTCGCTTTTTTGAAAACTGAACCTCACGTCCGGGTTGGACAACCCGACCTAAATGCACTGAGTGAACCACTTTCTGCCAGCGAATGGTAGAAAGCGACCGTTCTCAAACAACTTGAAGATCAACAGCATTCCGTGCAGACAGGTGCTGATTGATATGAAGAGAATTGTGGCTGCGGCAAAGTTCCGCGCAGAAGGGTGTTGAATGATACGTATGGATAAGACAATGCTCATTGCAAAGGGTTGGAAGGTGGAAGCTGAGTTTTTTCGGGTTGCCCACACAAATGCTTCGCGATTCGGATGCCATGGATCTGAGGACGCAACACCACGGGCCTGAGCGCGGTGTGAAGTTTCGGCCTTTAACCCACACCGTGTCTGGGGAGGGAAGGTTTTCTCAATCCGAATTCCCTCCAGTCGGCTAGAGTCACAAAGGGATCACGCAACCAGACCCCATGGTTACCTGGCTACGGAAATCCGAAAAAGCGATCATGTGTTCCTGAGAAACTCGGCCCGGTCGAAGGCCCAACTTCTTGGACTCTTCCGCCTGTGCCGCCTCTTCGAACGCCGTCTTCTCCACGGCATTCCAAACCTCCGCCTTCTGCTCCGCCGTGAGCTTTGGGACCTTCTGCACCTCGTCTTGCTCGTGGGAGAACATGGAGATGTCCAAGTCCACGCGGCAGTTGCTGAACTTCTTGCAGCATGCAGCCCACGGTTGCGAGCGACCGTCCAGCCGGCTCAACGTATGAACCCCTGATATGAACCCCTGATACGAAAATTCTGCCTGAGCGAATGATCCAAGGACCGCGGCTCAATCACAGGACACCTGCTGCTGAAGTATCTGGGCAACCATTCAGAAACCGGAAATGAGGAAGACTTGTAGGGACCCTCATCAGGCAAATCACCGGTCTCACCCGTATGACTTGCCCAGGCCCAAAATGGATGTGTCCTTTTGAAGGTCCGCTTTTGGTTGGTTTAAAGAAGAGAAACCAAAAGGACACCGGGCCGCATTCTTGGGCTTCCATATTATCCAAACCCAAATGGCCATGGCTTCACTTCACCCTTGAGCGCTCGGCGATGCCGATTCCCATGCCAGGCAGGCCTCACGTGCGCAAGGCAGCCAACACCAAGTTGTTAGTTTTTGCTTTTAGTGTTATGAAAAACTACAAATTTCAATAAAACCTAAACCCAACGCAGAAGCCGCCCCAAACGCAGGGGGAAGATTGCACGCCCAGTTTTGCCGGGCAACCGGTACTTGGGTATGGGCCCAGGTTTTGAACACATCCAGCAAAATGCACTGGCATGGTTACAATGGGAAGTCCCCAAAAAGAAACATACCCAGACAATGTTCACCGGGTGTTTCTGTGGTTCAGGTCCCTTCTTGGAGAACCAGTCCCAGCTGAGTACTTCTCATGGGCTCTCGGGGGAGGGGGGTATGGGATGTCCACTGGAAGGCCTTTTTGATGGATCAAGGAGACAGTCCCCTCCTCCCGCCATTCCAGGGACGTCTTTCTGACACCCAACGCCTATAACTAACATTTGGCATCTCTCCAAAAGTCCGCTTGGAGAAACCCCATTGATTTCAGGTAGTACTACAAGGAATTAAATCCTTTTGGCTTTTGGGGGAAGCTGGGAGCATCGACAAACCTCGTCACGTGTTGCCCGCGCCTCCCACGGGTCCGAAGCTATCTGCCTCCGGTCGTTTCAGCGCTTGGAATGGGCTCGCGGGTCGTGGGGATTTGGGTGAGTCAACTCTGGTTGGCCTTCACACTAACAAAACTTACTCACTAGATTTCCCCTGAACACCCATATCCTTCATATATCTTCATATGCTATTTGCAATTGACTGCCATGCCCTTCGAGGCTCAGACCAGCAGTCCGCCACCTGGGACAAACACGACTCGAACTGACGTCAGCTGCCCTTCAGCCAAGGTTTCACCCTTTTGCCCTCCTTTTGAACATCAGACAACGCCACGCATGCCACGCCTGTCTCCTTCCCTTGTCACCGACTCTCTGACTGTGGCTTGCAAAACTCCGTATGGTCCGATGCCACACCCCATAGAGACAGAACGGAGCAAACCCCTGGGGACGGATATAGGCTCTGGCCCAAAGCAAGGTGTTTTTCCTCCTGGTCGCTCTCTTGCGGCAAGAGTACAAACAAGGTGACACAGCTGCAATCTGTGAACTTGACCCTCAACCCAGGAAGTTGCAGTGCTCAAGATGGGAGAGTCATAGACTCACCTTTAAATACATAATATTTGGTATAAAAAACAACCAGATTGGGGAGTTTCAGACTAGCCGGGCAGCACGAAAAGAACAGCGCATTTCTCGAAGGGGTTGCCAACCAAAAAACTGTGGTTGAAACAAAGGAATGCAGTTCAAAATCAGCTTCCAGATCGGTGCAACTTCTTGAAGCAAAACCTTAGGGAATTGGGGAATGAACATTCCTGCTGCAAGTTTCAAACATGAACTTTGATGCGGGGTTCAGCACATTGCACACTGAATGCAACACGATGTACGTATTGACCACCAAAGTCGTTTGTGGCAAGCATCTCCCTTTATTCTTCTTGGCTTCCATTGCCGGAAAAATCGGTTTCGTTTCCCCCGCCTGGTCGGGAGAGCGGGTTGCTGCGCTTCGGCAACGCCTCAATGAAAAGTGGAAGGCATGCAATCCCAAACACTCCATGGAATATTTATCCTCATTTATCCTGGTGGGTCAGACTTTGGTATATCCTCCCTACATGGATTGTGTGAGTGATCCACCTTGGTTTTTGATTGGAATCTTTGCAGAAACTGCAATTGCCGTTCTTGTGATTGCCAAGGGACCCAGTCGGTACGGCAAGCATTGGACCTCTTGCAATGGCTTGAAGGCTTTCCTGGTTTCCGTGTCCCTAGCACCGAACAGAGTGTCCCTTCGAAGCGCCCCTTTCGTACATTTTTGAGTCTGCTGCATCTTGGGGTTGCTAATGTTACACACACAAGTATATATATATATAAAGGTAGTGTCTCTTCTGGTTTCTCTTTGCACCACCCCAAAAATGGTACCTCAAAAAAGACGAGCCAACCAGATGCACGTACAGAGATCCTTTTCCGGGTCTTTGCTTTGGGGGGAATTGCCATTTGCGCCCGTGTCTGGCCTTCGGGGCCGGCTTCTCCTCGCGCTCAGCCGGTGAAGGCTGACGAGTGAAGGCTTCATATTGATATTGAACACCCCCCCAAAAAGAAGAAGCAAAAGAACCAAACGCAGAAAGCTCATTGAAGCTCATCCTGAAGCTCATTGCACTCATCTCACAAAGTCTACACATCGCATTCATTTCGCACGGGCGCAAACCGACCGCGTTCTCTTCGGTGGGCTCCTCGATGGGCTTTCGGGGGCTCTCCTGAACGGAGGAGCTGACAGTCGCGGGCTCGATGTTCTACGTCTGTTGTGCAAGCAAAGGTATAATATCACATATATATATATATATATACATATTATATTACGGTATATGTCGCCCACAAGGTCTTTCTTACGTTGTATGATCGTGCTGGCAGGTTTAGGGTTCTTAGGGTTTAGGTCTAGGGGTTTTAGGGTTTAGGTTTAGGGGTTTTAGGGTTTAGGTTTAGGGTTTTTAGGGTTTAAGTTTCGGGTTTTTTTCGGGTTTAGGTTTGCTTGGAGCTGGCTGTCCGGCGTATCCGAGGCTGGCTTGTCTGATTTAGGTTTAGGGTTGTGTTGATGATAGCATTACATAACCAGGAAAAGTCGCCGCGCTCCTTGAAGCTTGAAGGGGTATGGAGCGGGGCCCAGGAGGCTCGGAAGTGCGTTTTTGCTGCGCCTGCCAAGCTGTTTGGAGGTCTCAGGGACCCGTTTCCGGGCGGTCGCGGCCAACACATACGTTTTGGCCGTATGTTTACTGCATCACATATCCGTATCACATCTGGAATATCTCATAACTGTATTATTCATAAACCCAACAGGCAAACACTCCATGTCATGTGTGATTGTTCCCGACTAATTAGGTGGCCTTGGGTGGACTAGGGTAGCAAGGCTGGCATTGCAGGTGGAAGGGGCCAAGGGGTTCAGAAAAAGCCGTGCCCATTCGAAAATATCAACTGAATACCTCTGACGAAATACCGGAATGGTAGCTGGAAGCTTCAGGGTTATACGGTTTTGCTAGTCCTGACATTTCCCCATTCCCAAACATTGCGCCATTGAAAGGAAGACGCTTTCAAATGCCCATCAAACCGGACAATGCCACATCCTTCCAGACGCACACTCCTTCCGAACAAAAAAGAGAAGCGAAACAAGCGAAACGTGATCTTTTCGAAAAGGCACAAGCAATCCTTCCCTTTTCTACAAACACGTGATGGCATTTGCAAATTAAAGACGGAAATACGACCCTTCACGGAAAGCGCAGTGGGACGACCCGCGAGAACTCCCCAAGTGTCTCTCGTCGCCTCGCTCGCGGCTGAGTTCTCAGAGCCGCTCTCGAGGCCTGGACAAGCCACGGAAACATGGGCCGAGTTGGCGTTGATCTACCAACTGGTCCTATCCAGACTCTGTTCGGCTGGTCGAGAGTCAAATCAAACTTCTTTTGTCAGAAACAATGCTTATTCCAAGAACGTTTGTTCCGTTTGGTCCGTTTCCTCTCATCACATCACCAAACCCAGAAGCGGCTGGGCGCGGGGAGGTGTCTGGCCCTCACCACGAATTCGGAGGGTTCCAACTAGATGGGCCGAAACAGCGTCCCTGAAACACCAAAAGGCTTTCACAAAATGCTGTAGCCAAGGGACACATGAAGAAACCAAGTCAATTCTTCCTAATGGAACAGCCAGGGGGAGATCGAAGACACCAAGCTCCCCACGAGCTGAGCTTCTGGGGTTCATGGCCATTGGGGGGGGGGGTGCACAAAAGGCCAATGATCTCAACCACCTGGACCACCGAAATAGCCTGAAACAAATCGCCTTTTTTCGGCTGTTTAGGATTGTTTGACCGGACCTGAAACAAAGAGGTATGAGTCAGTATGAGTCAAAGGGAACGCCTCTGGACCCCTCGCCGTAAACGCCCCCTTCTCAGCTAGGGGTTCCGATCACCGGCACGTGGCAGATTTCCGTGCGGCCTAATTCACTCATCATCTGCTTGGTCGCATTTTCGGCCACACCTTGCCACGCGTTTTCGGTTCGCCAGCCGGTCATTCCCATTCAAGAATCGCTGGACCTGGGCTGACGACCACGAGTCTTCATTGACTCTCACGTGCATGGATGTGGCGAACTACCCTATTTTGTGGATTACCGTGGTCCCTTAAGCTTGCAACTCAGCATGAGCTTTTTGAAAACCCACCTGGATACCAACCAAAACACAAATGGCAACCTGACCACCCCCCCCCCCCCCCGGCGGTTTCCTATTTCCATGCTCACGTGTTCCCCAAAAAGCACCTCGCAACTTCCAGTCACGGGCTCCAGGCGGTGCGCTGCAGCCTCCAATTCCGGGCAAACCATGGGGAATTCATTTCAGTTGTGCCAAGCCACCGCGGTAAAGCAATCGAACTTTCCAGCAGTCTAATTGCGGCTCCTACTTACCTGGTTTGATTTGACCCCTTGTACCTTGTGCGCCAGGGTTTGCTTCTTGTGTGTGTTTTGAGCATGTCGGGGCCAGACATGCTTTGCTCAGCGCGATCCCCGCCTTGGCAATGGAGCTGCTGGCACCTGTCATGTTTGCCATATCGGCTTTTGGACACCTGTCAATTGCCCACCCTGGGGCAACAAACAATAACACAAATGATGAAACTCATGCTTCCGTTTGCTTAATGAAGCCCCCTGAAAAAATGAGGACATGTTTCCAGTAGCTATAGATTCCTTTTAAAGCCAACAAGGCAGAAACCATATCTTAAGCAAATGTAGCATGTGGTTTCCATCTGTGGCTTGGCTTTGAGTGGCAATCATCCCTTTAATTACCCTCTACACCAAAAGAAGGGGCTTGGATCGAATTGCTCTGAGACTGGCTGGTCAGAATGGAGACTTGGCCAATCTGATTATTTTCCACAACCTCCCTTCAAAACCGCTACCAATAGGAAGGATCAAACCCTTTCGCAACCCAAGTCGGAAGGATGCTGATTGCCGAAATGAGCAGCCCTGTGAGATCTGCAAAGAATCAGGGGCCCCGTCGGAACATCAGGGTCGCTCCTATCTTTGAGGGTTGCTCACAAAAAAGGTTTCTGGAGAGAGTTCGCAAAGCACTGAATAAATTTGACAACCACTGACATTCTCCCCCAGCGGGTTCTTCTAATTTCCCTGTCTTAGGTTAGGTGAGCAACCCTCATATTCTATCCTTTTGTGCTTGGTGGCTTTCCACCAACAGATCTGCACGTCTCGTGGCTCTCCGAAGATTACTCCAACCCGGCTCCCACTTCCAAGCCATTAATCACAATAGGTAGCCTTGGGCTTTCCAAATGGATCCCCCTGACTTTCCAGGATTGGAAGGGTCCAACCTCCGACCGCAAACAAGTCTAAAGTCAAACATTGGAAAGAGTGGTCACCCTTTTGCTCCCTTTCTCCCAAAACGCGTAAACGGGGGCAACTCCGGCGGGAGCCAGGCCTGGCATCGGAACCTCGGTCGAATCTTCATTGATAAATTGCGGGTTGCGTCCATTGACACAAAAACGGGCAGGTTGGATTCCAGATTTGAGCCGTGGTTGGCCCCACGTTTGGCTTCACTCAACAGCTTTGCCTCAACTTGGAGACAAAGAAAGCTGCACGCATGCCCTGAGGTGCCCGCATCTGGCACAGAGGGCTCAGTCTCCATCTTCTTCTGGCAAACGCAAAGCTTGATCAAGTCAGCACTTCAGATTGGATGTGTCTTTTTGGTGGGTGGAATTTTGGGATCGCTTTAATGGGACACCAAAGGAAGCATTTTGGGGGCGCCCCCAATCTTAAGGCAAATCCAGACAAGCAAGGCAACCACGGGGAGTGCCGACAAAATGGCCGACGGAGCTCCATTGGAACGCTCCTATGGAGTTCCAAAAAGGTGCTCGGTGTTCAAATCTTCTGCGTTTTTGGTCGCGCAGTGTTGTTCAAATGGTCATGGGTGTGGTTTTTGGTCAAACAGCGTCCTGGCATGGCGTACTCGTGGTTTATGAATGAGTTCTCTCTGAATTCGGGCACACATATTCTCAAACTTGGCATGGGTTCATGGGCCCATGCAACCAGCCGTTGAAAGGTAAGGTGAGAACCGCTCTAGGCCAGTAACTCAGTACTTCTGACAACAAGGCTTTGCAGTCGGATTTTATTCAGCAAACCGTGCTGCTCGCCCTGCAAGTGGATACCCGGGCCTGCTTTCTTTTGCTAAGCCGGTTGTTGGTTCTTCATTCGAACAGAAGGTGAGTGCGGTCAACACCAAAAACGACATTTGAAACAACTGGGCCATTCAGATGGACTTGGCCCGAGTATCTGGCGACCATCTAAAATTATTTTGGTACATCACATGGAATGGGAAAGTACCACCCCTTTCCCCATCTTCTGCCCAACTGTAGGGACTGTTCAGTTTGCCCCCCTGCGCGGCATCCTTTTGTGCCCCCTCACCTCTGCCAACAGGGCTCGCTCCTCTGCCTCCTCCCCTGAGGTGGGCGTGATGGGAAGGCGCCCAGAGATGCAACAGACTAGCTAAAACGAAAAGGCACAAATGCGTGACCACATGATCCTCGTGGCATTTGGAACATGAAGGAAACCAGAAAGAAATCCAGTGGGTTTCCAATGGCCAATTGTTGCCCAGTTGCAAACCATTTTTGGGCACACATTTGGATGTAGCCATTGTTTTCTGAGACAATGGTTTCCAAAACCTACCCTGGTTTGCTTGGAAGCACTGAGTAAGCACAATACAAAGTAAACACCAGCAATACCGCAAATAGAGTCACGGTCGGTGTGCAAAGGCCACCGTTAGCCATAAAGTAGAACGCAAAAGAAAGAATGGCCAAAATGGTTTCACAGAAAAACTGCATCGGCTAGATTCTACCGATTGATTCCCTAGTGGCACAATGGCTCAATACTATGTAGCCTGGTAAGCCTACGGCTGGTATGTAGCCAACGGGGTCGAGTTTCGCAGAGAACTGGAAAACTGGCGAAGGCACATTTGGGGTACGCAACTGATCTGGAGAATAGACCTCGTGCCTGTTGCGTTGGAAGGTAAAAAAGGTGGGCACCTCCAATTACTGACTGGTGTCCAACAGCTTAGACTTGTTAGAACTCCTCCTTACCATGAAAAGATGGCCCCCCGCCCAATACAACGAGTGGTCGTCTAGTCACCAAAATCCGCCTCGGTGTGGTCGTGTGCCAGCATTTTACAAGTTCAAGCCAACCTGATCTATCCAAAGCGAGTCGCCGAAATGGAGCATTCAGGTGCCAACTGCGCGCGTTGGCACCAAGGAGAGGCCGAAGGAAAAAGAAGTGAGGAACAGCAACATTGGACTGTGCCACGCAAGTGTACGCGATGGAAGCCTAATTTTGCAAATTGTGTTGGCGAGGCATATAGGGTGATAGGAGCAAGGGGGACAATCCGCAAATTTCAGGGGACTGCGCGCGGAAAAAGGCGTTCGAAAAATGGAGCATGAAAATGAGGGAGCATGCTTGTACTACTCAGATGCAATTCCATCCGGCTCGGGGCTTCTCCTGGACTCCAGTTCCCAGACCTGCAAAGGGCCAAGTTCCGCAGATTATGGGGAAAGAAAGGGGAGTTAACTTTTCCGAGCAAGGACCTTGCCGGACCGCTCTGGTGGCGGGTTGGTACTTTCTCCTCAACATTGTCAGGGCCTTCCACCGCTGAGAAGGAGGTGCTACGACGTCCTCCAAGCTAATCCCCACTGCTTTTTGTCATTGACAATTCTATGTCTAGCACGTCTGAGTTGCGGCGCGGATCGTGTGTGAGGTTATCCGACGGTTTTCTACTTATCATACGAATGCAGGGTCAGTGAGGTGAGACTCACGGATGTGCGGCTGACTGTGTGCATCGCGGATCTTCTGCGATTGTTGTTTGAGTGTGAGAGAATTAAACTCGGCAAGGAATGTGGAAGCTGCAGATCCTACAACGAGGACAGCCCAGGGTAAGTTGAAGCATCTTCTGGACGGAATTGAAGCAAAGGTTAAAGGCAGCTGTCAATGTTGGAGGGTGTCTGCGTGAGCTGAAAGAGGACAATGGAGATCCAAAAGAAGTTGGCGTCTGCGGGGTCGATATGTCAAGCGTGCTGGAGGGAAATTGACATCAAAAACAAAGGAGCCTGACAGGCTTGGCTAGTGGTAGTGCTTTGCTGGTGGGGCTGGATGGGTGGAGCGCTCCTGACTGACAGGTGCAGTTGTAGCCCAACCTGGGAGACATAGCTGGGCAGGTGCTGGGGGAATGCGGAGCAGAGTTGTGTTCGTATGTTCGCTGCTTGTTGTGGGTTGTTGGTGAGCGTCAGTCGATGTCAATAGCAGGGGTTCCAGCTGCAGTCTTTCCAGCCAAAGTCTTTGCCATAGTGGGTCTGATCGGGGGTGGAGGAGCTCATCGATTCTCGACTTCTTGGTGTGAGGTGGCTGCACGCTGCAGGCAGAGTCTTCCTGGTGCTCGAGGAAGAGTTTCCATTGCTCGTCATCTGAACACTGATGGCCTCCTCTTGGGATGTTTCCATCTTTGCAGTGGTGTCCATGGCTAAGCGACAAGCGAGTGCGAGGCAAAAGGGCACAAAGGAAAAACGGGGCTGGCTTGTGCCAAATGCCTAGGTGGGTGACTATCCCCAATAAACCTACACCTTTGGAGGGGCTGCAACGCACCTCTGACGTGCTCGCATGTGAGGTCCAACGATTCGCTCGCACTCCGCGCCTGCAAAGGTGAAGCTGCAGCTAGGGCTTTCAGCCTGCGACGGAACAATTCTTCGTTTGCGGTCAAAACTCCGGTGGGTCATCATGGCTCCCTTAAAAACCTCTCCATTGGTTTAAACATCCTACATGTGGGTCATGGTCATGATGTTCCGTCCAAGCAAACATAAGGAGTTGATGACCATCTCTACCAGGTGCTTTGACTACTTTAGAAGCTCGGATCTCGAGTCGGGTGGTTTGAATCTGCCCGAGTCGGGTGCAGTCGTTTATTGACTCAAAGCTTCGCGGGGCGGCCTGGATCCATTCCTTGCCGGGTGTCAAACACATCTCCGTTGGATCTGCCGCTTTTGAAATACACCTCCACTGGGGTGCTTCTCCTGATAGAAACGGGGTGCTGCAAGGCGAACCGTCCAACAGGATCAAACGACAATCTATGACATGTTCGTCCCCAAGCAAAAGAAACGACTCCTTGAAAAGACAGCCACACCACTTCCAACCTCCCGCTCGGCTTTCCCGGTCGCGCCTGAAGCTCCTCCTGGCAAATGGAAGGCACCCACGCCACACAGCAAGCCTTCACTCAAGGGCAACTCGTGTCGTGTACTCTTCGCGGTGTACGCCTTTACTGGGCCACTATGCCCAGTTGGCTATACGCAGTTTGCAAGCAACACCCTTGGTATGAAACAGCGGCCCTTGATTCGCAGTTTGTTCGCCCACATCCATTTTGCTTTCTTGGCGGGGTGTGTATGGAGTTGGGTGTCCCTTTAATCAAACTCACCCCGACACGCAACCAACTTCCCAGCAAAAGGATTGGCGACAATAAGTCAACCCCACTCTGTTTTCAGAGCCCACAAGAGTCTCCAAACATTCACATAATGATTCCAACGCCAAGCTGCGTTCTTTGGTCCCTTGGCAATTCTTCCCAGTCTATGGCTTCCCACTTTCCCGGGACAAAGTTGGCTTGTCACATTCAAATAGTGGCTATGGAGTGATGGCTTCTCGGCCATATCCTTTAAAGGGGTCTTGGTGAAAGGGGTAAGCCACCTTAGAACCAGAACTCCGCGTGCTGCAAGGCCTCCCTGGCCTTTGGCAAGGTGAAGGGGGCAAAGAACCCGGAGATACCGGCAATGAGCCCTTGTCAAAATGAAGCGGAAAGGACATCCACACATGAACGACACACACACCCACACACAGAAATGGGCAAGCACGCAAAAAATGGTAGGCATGCAAATGATTTTTCCCTTCCACATGAAACTCAGCAAAAGGGCAGCGCACAGGCATTGCACGATGACACACGTCTCAAGCTAGATCAAAGGGAAAAATAACGCCCTAAGCCTCTGCTTTTGGCACTTGCGTTGGGCTCCTTCGTCCCACATGGGCTTGCGCGGTATGGACCCTTGCCCGTCTGCAGGCTTTGCGTCAAGGTTCAGCCATGTTAATCTATGGTGTCTACCCCCAAGCCACGAAAAAAAAGAGGGTAACCTTTATATGTCACTTTCCAACCCTTGGTGTGATTGTAGAAAAACAGAAGCGCTTTTACAGCCCCTGCACAAAATGAACAGAACCAAACAAAAACCAGCACATGTTGGTTCAGCTTAGAGGACTCGAATTCGCCGCCTCGCCTGCGTTTGTTGCGACGGCGGCTGCAGCTGCGGCAGCCGCGGCTGCGGCTGTGGCTGCGGCTGCGGCTGTGGCTGCGGCTGTGGCTGCGGCTGTGGCTGGGTTACTGTCACCGTGGGCCTGTCGTAGGAGAGGTTACCGAGCAAAGATGAACCAGACCTTGTTGGTAACAAGTACAAACTATTTTGAGTGGGAACAACACTCTGGTGCACAGAATGAAATGCATGGTTGGACGTGTTCAACCACCAGCCACTTTTGAAGGGCTTAATAAAACTCATAGCCAATTGGGGGGTGTCAAAACTCGTGGCTTTTTTTGAAATGTTTGAATTCGGCTTGGCTCCCACTCAAAGTGGTTCAACAGGCCAAAGTTGGGCGAAGAGGGGCCAACACGAAGCCGTTTTAAGCCAGCGAAAGGGCACCTTGCTCCTTTTTGAAGGCAACACAGATCACCAAAGATCCAATTTCTGACACCCCTCCCCACATGGGTCCTCAAAAAAGACAGAAAGCGCGCAAACCAGCTGAAGGCATCTGCCTGGGGCTTGGCAGACCCATGCTGTCCTGGCGGCGTGGCACATGTCGGGCCTCGCTCCAAATAGGAGCCCTGGCTCAAAAGGGGAAGTGGGGTGCAACCCGGATTCTCAGTTTCCCTGAACAGCAAGGTTCCCCAAAAACACCCCTGCCCACCCCGGACCCCCCACTTGGGTGTTCAAAGGAAGGCTGCAAGAAAAAACATCCATTTTGGTCCCCGAATTCAAGACACGCAAAGCCCAAAAATAATCCCAGGGGTCACAAAACCCTATAAAGGCAACCTGCACCCGGCCTCAGCTTCTGGCTTCGGTCTTGCCTTCTCGACAAGCTCCGGCCTCGTTTTCGAGGTAGCTGAGAGGTGGCCCGTGATTGGACAAAATCTTGCACCAGGTAGTTGTTCCCGGTAAACATGGGGCTTCATCCACACCAACTGGTGAAGGCTGTTCCAAATGGAGGGACCGACTTTCCGTGTTGGGACGCTACCAGACTCCAAGGCAAAGGACCCAATCCTTTGCCAATCCAAGAAGTTCAGGAGTTCAACCCGTATCGTCTCTGAACACTATCCCACCAGTTTTTCCAGTTTCGTGTTTTCTCCAGATCTTCTGCCCTTCAAAGTCCAGGGCCCAGATGGCACGTCCAGCTTGGCCCTTTCAGGCTTCTCCTCGAAGCTTCGCGCAAAGCCGGGAAATAAGCGATGGAGTCGTCAAAACTGTCGTTGCCCTGGAGCCACTTAAGCGGCACATAAGCGGCACAACATGACAAGGTCCAAAAGGGGGCCCGTGATGAAGCCTGGGCCACTCACACTCGGCAGCTTGCGAGCGAAATCAAGGGCAAAGCTTCTGGGGCCACACAGGACAACGCCCTGGATCTTTTTGCCATGGCTCGCTACAAGCTGTGCGCGCCGTTGGCTCCTCTTCCAAGGAACTCGGGTGGTAAAGCGAATGAGATCCCTGAATTTCCCTTTTGGCGTATCACCCAAAACTTTCAATTGGCAACCAAACCGTGCTGTTTGAAAACCATGAATGGAAACAGTGTCTCAACATGAGGGGACCTCGAACATTGGTGGATTCCTTTTAGGTTTCCCTTTGAAACCAACCAACAGAGGGGTCCCCGCCCCGCAAAAAGAGCTATACCCAGCCCTTGGCAGGAAGGGCACCTGCCTGCCTGACGCGCAGTCTCGCGCCCTATTCGGCACTACAAACATGGGGGGGTGGAGTCTTTTGGTTTCCCGAAGGGAGTTCTTCGGACCCGAAGGAAAGCACAGGACCATTCAAGTGACGCTCCAGACTTGGCTGCGGTTTCAAGAGGTTGCCCTGCAAGTAAATCGTGAACACCGAACACCCTCAAAAAGCAGCCACCTAAAGGGACGCAAGCTTGCTTCAAAACCTTTTTGTGCAGTTTCTTTCTAATAGTTTCCTTTGGAACAAAAAAACACATTTCCTGTCAGGAAGCCTCCTTTTCGACACGGGAATTCATGTAAGGAACCCAAGTTGCAACCATTTGCTCCGGCACCGGCCTGCATGAGCTTTGGCGCAGCCTCGGGTTTGCTTCCCTCTCCGATCCTTTGGGCCGATGCTGGCAATCTCAAAATTTCGCTGAGCTCCGCGGTGCATTCCAAGGCGTCCTTTTGGACAAAATGGCACTGGCAAGTCATTAGAATCAAACTAAGGGCCACACCTGCCTGAAACGGAGACCGACTGCATTCCTTCCTTTCTGCTTCTTGCTTTTGAACGCCCCCGAGCTAAGTACAGCGCAGGTCTTGTGGCAGCGACCGTTGCCTCTGCCTGTGAGAGGGTGCCCGCCCTCACCCAGCTGACTTGCATGACATGTATTGACCTGTTGCGTGCAGTGAAACAGAGGCTGAAGACTATTATTGTAGTATTTCAAACAAATGACAGTATTGTTTATGGAGTTGCATAGTGGTGGCTGTAGATACTGGTTATTCTCATTTCCCGCCCGTTTCCCGGATTGAGATGCCGAAAGTAAAAATCCTGAACAGTCTGACAAAATCTTGATTTGCCTCCACGTTAGGCATCACGTCAGGCATCACGTCCGGCGCCTGGCCGCATTCCGAGGGCCACCCAACCTGTTCCTGTAACAAGCTAGGGGTCCCCTTCAAGGAAACCACAAAATCATGGCTTTGGGGTCATTCCAATTCTCATTGGGCTTCGGGAGCGCTGTTTCGGCCAAACACTCTGCTATTGATAGTGAAGATCCCGCAAAGGGAATCCACAGTGGAATTCACACAACAACTGCAAAAAACAAGCTCACTTCAATTTGGCAACCACAAAATGTGACGCTGAAGACAGAGAGAGAGAGAGAGATCGAGAAAGAGACAGAGAGAGAGAGAGAGAGAGAGCGAGAGAGAGAGACAGAGAGAGACAGAGAGACACGGAGACACGGAGACACAGAGAGACAGAGAGTGACCGATGCCAAGTGGCCCGAAAAGTGAGTCTGGAAACCACTCTTTGAGAAACAACATCCAAAAGGAAGTGCCGGATGTTTAGACACTGTGTGTGTAAAGACGCGTATGTGTGTGTGTGTGTGCGCGCGTATGCGCGCTGCATGCGATAACCGAGGTGCTCGGAAAAGATACGTGGGAAAAGACCAAACCCAATGATGCGAGCGCAGGCGATAAGCTGCTTTGAAAGCCTACTCATGTTGACCCTGGCTAAGTAAACCTTGCACATTCATGAAACCTTGCGCATTCATGGAGGCAGCTTCTTCCAAAAGTGAAGGTAAGCGGAACACTTCCTGTGAAAGAATGTGAAAGACCCATGAGTTTGACTTATCCCGGCTTCCCATGCCTTGCCAATTGTCGCGGGCTAGACCTTGTCCTTGCGGATGATCCTCTATCAGTGACGCTCTCAGAGGGTGTCAAATGGCCGAAAGTAAAGCTATGTGAGGCTCGGCCTACACGGGAAGTGACCGCTGCGGCTTAGGGGAAAACCAACCCCTATCCATTGACATGAAGCTACGAGATTCCATATTTGCCCAACACGCCCTATAGTACAAATCGTTTTTAAGATCTGCTACCAGCGACAACTATGTGAACTTAAACCAATGCTGGATTTGTGGCAGATCGGGGGCTCCAAGTAGTGTCGGGCAGGTTGGGGGCCGTTCTGGGATGGATTTTCAGGTTTTGGTTGTAGGTTTTGCGGAGGTTCCAGTGAAGCTGGTGGGAATGAAGTGTGGCAACGATGCTACTGGGAATTCTGCTTGGGTTGAAGGCTTGTTGGTGGTTGGATTGTTTTGCTACTTCGCAAAAAGAAAAGTAAGATCGGTCGAATGCAAACCAGCCGGGAAAACATCTTTTATGAGGAATGCTGGAAAATCAGGGTGGTTGCCCACATGGAACCCGAACACCCCCCTCCGTTTTTCAGAAAATGAGTGCCCGCAGATTCGTAACGTGGCACTTCGCAACCGCAACCGCGAGAAGGACGACGGCTTCCGCACAGCCGAAGCCGTCGTCCGGGCCTTCGGCACGTCGCTTTGCAACCGGGGTGGAGAGTCCTCGGGGCCTGCGAAGCGAAGCGGATGGTGCGATGGGGGCAGTAAATCATAAGACAGGAGACCTTACATGCGGCTTCCTGTTGGTTCCGGCACTAGAGGAGAAACATTTGTTATGACAGTTTTCCAAAAACAACTGGGGCGTCACAATGAGGGCACCGTGAAAACACACAAACACACATGGAAACACATGAGTTGCGCCGCCTGCCACTTGGCGCATCCAAGTGTGAAATCCTCACAATGACCCTCTAAGATTCTGGTGGAAAAATGTCTGGTATGGTGAGCCACAACGCAATGAATAACTGTGTTCGATTTGCTCAAGGCTGTCAAAAGCACAAGTTTGCCGGAAAGGTCAATATGAACAAATTGAACCGGAGAAATCCCCCTGAGGCTTGGCTTTCATTGGTAAATGAACCCCTTCTTTTTGGGTGGATGACAGTCCCCTTCATATGATGGGTATCGTAGCCATTGACCATGGCTCGTATGATGTATAACCATCCCTACCCACGACCAAAACCATCAACCAGCCATCATCCCATCTTTGTTTGTTATATCCCCCAATATCATACCCATGGTTTGATATAAACTCCATAACCATGGTTCCTAATGGGACTGCCCGGTCGCGGCATGTCCATGACTTGGAGAAATCGGAATCCGGGCGGCCCGAATCGAAAATCAAAGGAGGTGCCTAAAATATCCCACCCGATTCAGGTGGCTATTTGCCGTGGCTTTCCCCAATGTCTCACATGTGAACCGATGCAGCGAAGCATGGTGCGGCCAATGTTGTCACGCCCTTCTGTCATGGCTTAGTCTCCACCCTTCAGGTGATCAAACATTTGCCACGCTAGTCACAGTGAAACTAAACTCCAACCAAACAAGACGTCCAAATTGACTGCCCAAACCGCTTCTCGAGCATGTTTGCTCCGATCCAACCACTCCAACCTAATAACCAAATCCCTGACATGCCACAACCCTTTAGGGGGTCTCCCGAACTCACGGCGGCCACGCCTCTGGACGTGGATATGTCCGCGGCCATCTCGCCTTCTGCTGGAACACTCCAAAGCAATTTTCTGGGGGTTCTCATCGTTCGACAATGCTGCAAATTCAGCATTTTGAATCGGGAGTGACAACACAAGTCCTCAAACAACCAAATTCGCGAACCAAATCTCGACCCCTTCCTGGTTCCTTACCAAATCACTTCTTAAGGATTTCACACTCCGATCTAAGCATTCCAACCTCGCAACAACCCTAGCAAACAAACTCCTCTCTTTGACTCGCAGCCAGGCCTCTGGACATGGACATGCTCGGCACCTTGCCTTCTTGCACAGCCCCCACAAAGGGCACCTCCTTGGGATGGGAACCAAGACTTCAGATTGCACACGCACAGAGTCTGGACCATGGGTATGTGGGCGTATGCTTGTGTGTGTGTGTGTTTGCAAATGTCCGCAAGTTTGTGTTTGTGTATGTTGTGTTTGTGCTCGTGCCTGTCGTGCTTGCATTTGCACTGGTGCAATTTGTCGTGCTCGCGATTTTGTTTAGGTCTACATGTGTGTGTGTGTGTGCTTGTGCTTTTGCTTTGTGTATTTTCATTTGTGTGTTCCTTTGTGTGTGTTTCTTTGTGTGTGTGTGTGTGTGTGTGTGTGTGTGTGTTTGTGTGTGTGTGTGTGTGTGTGTGTGTGTGTGTGTGTGTGTGTGTGTGTGTGTGTGTGTGTGTGTGTGTGTGTCTGTCTGTTGCCCTTGTGCTTTTGTGGTGTGTTGGCGCTTGTGCATGCAGCATCAAACCTAAGGAGCACACGTTAAAATATTTTCACGCAACTAACATAGGCCAGTTTACAGCCATGAGTGTGCGATGTGCACCCCTGAATCACTTGCGCGGGCGCCTCGATCTCACTTGCGAGCGCATGCAACTGAAGGGAGCGCTTTTTTGCGAGATGGCTCACAATTTGTTGTCTACTCAGTTGCGAGTGCAGGACATATGTTAAATGTTCAGACATATCAATACTGAGTTCCAAAGATTTCTAGCTGCAAGGCACGGTTTCTGTGAGGGGGATTGCAAGTTTTGTCCAAGGTCTCGGGATGCTGCGGAGCATCTTATAACATGTGTTTAAGCTAAAATTGCTTGTAGCTTTCAAACACATTTGTCTGCAATCGGGACCATTTTGTATTTTCATCTGCGAGTGCAGGATGCTAGGATATCGAAGAATCGTCCTATGATATCCGCCAACCAGCGGTTTCTTAACTAGAGAGTCGGGGGCTGAGGTAACTGTAGGCGAAGCCTGACAAGCGACGACTGAGGCGAAATTGAAAACCAGAGCTCGAGACTGGAGAAACAGTGAAACCTCCAGGCAACGAAGGAGTGGCCGAGGCAGTGGAAGCTTGGTACGTGAGAGCCTGGTGAATAAAGACAAATGCAAGAGATAAACCATGGAGAAAGTGAATCGTGGAAACAACAGCTCGAGACTGAAGAAACAAGGCACGAGAGTGAACGGCTGAGTCGTTGGAAAACGGGTAGAAGGCCTGATCAGTAAAGACTAAGGCGAGTTGGACACTGGAAACTGCAGAGTAGGAGGTAGAGGGCGAACAGGATTGCACCCTCGAAGGGATTAAACAACCCTCTAGTTGACGCTGGTTTCAGATGGCAATGGCTTACCTGAAACTGTGAAATATGGGCAAGTCTTTGTTGAGGGTACCTATGTTTGGGCTGCTGGAAAGCGGGGTCAAAGTGAAAGCCGTTTTCCTTCCGGATGCATAAGGTTCCTCAGAGAGACATCCAAGTCAGCAGCGCAAAGAAAAACAAGAACTTGTGGATGGTCATGAAGGCTTACATGCACCTTACCACAACCCTTGTCCATCAAATGCAGTAGAGCCACCTACTAAGAGATGCTAAGAGGGCCCTTTTGGGAATAGGCTTTGGGCGCTGAAGTTGCCTTCTTTGGACCTTGGGCTTGGTGTTTGGGCGTTGCGTTTGGCATCTCTCGCATGTGCCGCTCCTCCTCGCTGGATGCATCGGCCTGCAATGCAGCCCGGAACAAACCGGTGAAACCTTTCCTGGTACGGAGTCTGCCCACCATGTGCAGCATCAGAAGGGTGGCTGCACCTAGTACCCAAACTGTTGACCTTCTACACGGATTTTGATTGTGGCTCACTGGTCAAACAGAAACAGTGTCGCAACATGGTAACATGCCTGGAATGGTGCAGCAGAGATGCTGCATTCAGACTTTGCACCAGACTGCTATGCCTCTGGCAGCGGTCTCCATGCGCATGAACGCCATCTTCGAAAAAGCAAAAAGCTAAGCCGTTTTAAGCCCATGTTGAGAAACCCAACTCCGAAATCATTTGAGGCGAATCCAAAAAGATTCCTCACTTCCACCAGAAAAGGTGTCGACTGTTTGTGTCAAGAGACGGCAAGGTGACGTCCCGTGGGACGCTATGCACCGAACCCTCAAGCTGTAATACCAACCACGTAGAAAGGTGTATACGGACGATGCCGTTATAGCCGAACCCGTGTAAACGTTGTAAGGGAGAAGGAATGATAGTTACAACAGTGGTCCTGACAAATGCAGCGCAAGCGAAGTGTTTTCGCTCTCAATGCCGATCACGTATGTATGCAGTCACACATCAGATCTTGAACCTCAATTGTGTCTTGAGCCAAATGGCGATCAATGGAACTTGGGAAGCAACACCAACAAGGACCTCAGAACAGCTACCCAATTTCGGCACGGGGCCTAGAGGGTTTTAACATCCCCCATTTGGGTCGCATTGTTCATCATGCGGTCCAAACACCACAAAACGTTCCACTGGCCACGGCTTCAACTACGAAATCGTGTCGTGCATTCTTTTACTTGCTATCACTACACCGTTCATTCGCTGTGAAACATGCCGGGTTCGATTGTACGAAAAGTGAAACATTCATCCTCCAATCGAAGCACACATCCATATGCAGGTGTATATAATACACAATCGTCACGTCATTTGACCACCAACGAACAATCCAGCTGCCGCATTTGCGCATCGCGCAGCTGTCATCCATAAATGGGTTGGCCGCAAAAGTCCACCAGAGGCGCCTGCTTGTAATCGGTCTGCATATTTCCGGCAAAGAAACATCGGTGAGTAATCAATGCAAATCATAGCCATTCCAGATACCATGGACAATGCATAAATAATGAAAAGATATCATCTATAAGGTAATAGTTCCATCCATGAATATCCAGAGCGTCATAGTCATCGGAATATGTAACCATGTACACACCCAATCATCTTGGACACATGAATATAAATCATGACATAAGTCGTTCCACCGAAACAGTGTCGATGTGACGCAAGTAACAGATGGGGACTGACCCACATCGTACCGCAATCAGCATCTTCACGAAGCATACCTGTCCCCAATGGACAGCCTATGGGTACGTCGGCGGAACTCCTCGTCCAAGTTCTTCTGGGCTTCTCGTGCCCGGACACACTTCTTGTTGTAGTCCTCTGGCAACCAGTGCCCTTTCCGAAGGCACCAATCCAGCAGGGGTGTGTCGCATTTGTTCGGGTCGATGGCCGAGATGATGGCGCTCACGTTGACCGTGTAACCATTCTTGCCAAGGTTCAGGCCATCCCTCACGAATGATATATACTTACAGTTGAAAGCTAGTGCAAAGCATCTGAAAATAATATCACCCACCGGGTGCACTCGGTCCTTGACCAGGAGCTTCATTTCTTCCTTGGTGACATCGAGGATTCTCGCTGCAATCCACAGCTTGTAGAATGTGTAAAGTCCCTCGCATTTGCACACCATCATACGAATATAATCTTCACGCTCCTCAACCGATCGGAAGGATCTCGACCGAACATTCTCCGACTGAGAAATTTTCTTCGCTGTTGATGGTAAGAGTATACCTTCCTGATCCTGATCGGTGATGTTGGGGTACCTCTTGAAGTCATTGTGATAAGGGCAGCCCGGCCTCCCTTCGAGTCCGGCATTCATCGTTCTCTCCTCACCACCTTCAAACATCCCCCACATCTTGGACAGCTGGAGTGCGATAAATCCTGCCATGTACTGAGCCTCACGCGGCTCGTCAAGGCAGATCGCCATCCGTTGGGAACTTATAATGTCCCGTGACGCCAGATCGGTGTCGCGGTAATGCCAACCGCTGTCTTCTTCTTCTGACGCATAGCCGGATGTATATCCTTGCGTGTCCATGTCGTCATCTTCTCCCGGAACTTCCTCCGCTTCGTCTTCATCCTCCTGTGCTGCCGCATCGTGGTTAGCTTCTTCCTGTGCACGCCTGGCATCTCCAGAGACGTTGGGGTTTTGGTTGTCCTCCTCGTCATCGGATTTGATGTGAATGTAGTATCTTCCGATGGAGATCAGTTGTGCCTCGCACTCCAGGCATAAGCAGAAGCAGGTGGGGATCGCGGTCGCACATGATGGACATATCCGGCACCTCAGTCCTTCCCATGTCTCATCATTCAGGATGACGACTTTGCTGATTTCGTCCCGGACCTCGTTGACCTGTGCGTTGAACTCCTCCATCTTGTTGATTCGATAGAGTTCGCAGGCACGATTAACCATGTCAACGATGTAGTGCAGATTATCGGCACCTGTCTCAGTCTCCGGCATCCTCTCGCTGATCTTTGTGACGTTCTGGAGGAACATCGCTGCCGACTCTTGGGATGAGTTGACAAAGCCAGGGCAGATCTCGTTCTCCACACACTTCGAGTACGCTCTCTTGACGTCAGCGTACTCCAGGCGCTTCCCTCCGTTGCTTTTGCCAATCCAAATGGACTTGACCTCATAGAACGGGATCACGTCAAAGACCATGAAAGTCCCATTAGCCGCGACTCCAGCTCCATACCGCGCGAGGGTTGCACTGGGAATGTAGATGATCGCAATCGGATCCCCTCTCCTCACGTTCCGCAGCGTCGTCTTCGTCGCCACGTTCATCTCATCCCATGGAGCAAACGCCCCGAAGTGCAGTGCTAGCCTGTTGCCGCCATCGATTCCGCCGGGGACTAACCCACAGCGTACGATGCTTGGCAGGTTTTCCACATACGTCACATGGAATGCTCCTCCGAGAGAATCACCCATTCTTGCGGAATACCTATTCGCCAGTGCGGATGAGCTCATGAATCCAAAATCACTGTGACCAGTTGTGACTCGGATGCACCAAGGTCTGTACCATCCATCGCATCTGTTGAACATCCTGTCGATGTCGTCCCGATCCATGCCAGCTTTGGTCATTTCCTCCCTGGCCGCCCTCGTGTCGTTCGGGTTCATGATGCTCGGAAACCTTGCTGCCAGAACCTGAAATCTCGATTTCCTGTGTCCAGATTCCTGCCACTTGATCACCTCCATGATACCCATGTATCGTTTCGCTCTCGAGGTGTTAGGTGGGAATATGTCGTTGTTTCGGTCGTCAATGACTGCATCAATGTCGACCCAACCACCTTCGTCGCACCTGAAAGCACTTCCTCGGCAATTGCCGATTTTGTGTCGAAGGACTCTGCATAGGTCGTGAGATAGCTGGTTTGCTTGGTCCCTTGTAGTAAATACCGAGCGATCATCACCAATCCTGCATAGTGGAGCACCGTCGAAAGGAGCAACGCAGAAGTTGACACTCTTGCCAAGTTGCATCACGTCCACTTGCTCAAGGATTGCACCTTTGGGAAAGTATTTGGGGTCAACGATGGACGCATACGCCCATGGCAAGTGCACATCACTCACATCGCCATACTTCGGGATGTAGCACGGGATGGTGTCGCATCCCATCTCAAGCGTCTTCTTGAATGTCCTGCTGTCCCCGCACGGGTTGTAGGTGAGGTCGACGCCACCACATTGTAGCTCTCCTCCCTCAGCCGTGTCAGCCATCTCCACCAAATTAATGGTGTAGCTGTACATCTCAATTGTTTCTTTCCCTGCTTGTCCTCCTTTCTTTCTTTCCTTGGACGTTGATGAGGACGGTTCCTCCGTATCCCCCATGTCTTCATCAGATGAAACAGGGTCACTGCTGAGTAGCTCACGGAGCACCTTCATCGCCTTCTCATTTCCAGCAGCCTCCTCAATGTCCTTGCAGTCGCCGTCGTGGGCCAGGTTCGCGCACTTCTTACAGATCCCCATATCTCCCATGCACTTCTCCATTGACTCCAGGAATCCTAGTGCCGCTCTCCGCCCGTCGATCACTCGCTGCTTCTTGTCTTCCTTCTCAGCATTGGGCTGAGAACTTCGACTCGGGTCTGGTGCTTGACCAAGACCCTCATCTTCGCCCTCCGTGGCCTTTCTCTTGGAACCTTGTGCAGAGGGCTCGGTGATCAGGGATCGTGGATGTCTGGGCTTGACCTTGTTCATGATGTCAAGCACCTCCTTCGTGGGCACGCCGAGCTGTGCGGACGGTCTGTTCCGCTTTCTGTTCTGGCCCGTCGTGTGGGTCACGTTCCCAGCGAGGTGTCGCACTATTGACTGCTCGAACTCCCTCTTGATCTTCCATGCATCCTTCCACAGTGGCAGTTCGTGCTGGAAGTACGACATCACCTCAAAGAATCCCAACACCATCTCGACGACGTCTCCCAAGGATTCCTCGTTCGTGGTTTGTCCCAGGAGTTCATACATCGTTCCTTGGTCGAGCACACTCTTGATCCAGGACGAATATGCCACATTGCCAAGATCCTTGCCTATCAAGAAGATGGACATCCTCTCCTCGACTCCCTCGGAATTCTTGCACACGATCACATCCCGGGATGCGCACAATTGCTTCCCGTGACCGTTGTTGTAGAACTGCGCTGCTTGATCCACAGTCATGCTCACGAATCCCACGTGAGAAAGCTCCTTCTTCAGCTTGAATACACGAGCTCCCGTATGATCGTGATCATGGCCTGGATATTGTTGACGTCCACCATGAGGTTTTGAAGGTCGGGGATTGCCACCACGCATTCCGCGAAGAGGCGCGTGTACATTTTCTTCCCCTCGATAGACATTGCAATACCGTTCGTGTCCGCGTTCCAGTTCGCGCAACAGTTCACGCAAGAA